TGTCTCCCCTGGGGAGAATAAAGGAGAATCAATTAGGCTCATTCCTAAAGGTGAGGAAGTTGTAAAAGCTAATCACAAGAGTGCAATTCTGCAAAGGGATATTTTAACTCTTTGATTTTCTATTTCAACTGCTTCTGCAGACTTTCTGAAAGCACAGTTCCTTAAAGAACTCCATTATTTCACTTATGAAAGAGAAGATGAAGAGCTGAGCCGGTCACTGTCCATAACAAAGGAAAGGAATACAAAGAAATGCTGATTAGATCTGAAGTACTCCAGTTTTTTTTTTTTTAATCTAAAACCTGTGCTGCCTGCAGCAATGACTTTTTAGAAAAAGAACCTTGTCAACAATAGCAGTGAAGGACTCCTTAAATCAGATTCATCTTGCCCATCTTTATGGAGTCAAGCATCTTGTCTTAGCTGCTGCCTGGGTTTTCCTGTCAACTAAGAGAGATAATCATCTCTGGATCTAATTTACACTGTCCATTTCCTTACATTATTATAGAGCAAGAACACATAAATCACTTACATTATAGAATTTAAAACAGATAAAGCTAAGTGATTAAATTAATTTACTGTATTTGAAATATTCTGGTGCTCACATCATCCTGTTTGGAGAAAGAGAGGTGCCATGAAGCACTTTCTGTACGTGTGCCACCACACAGCATAATCCTTAAACATGTAGTTGATAAAAGAGGGTGAGATTGTTAAAGGACATAACATTCTTTGTGGAATCATGGAATGGTTTGGGTTGGAAGGGATCTTAAAGCCCATCCAGTTCCATGGACATAGGATGTTTGCTCCATCCTGGCCTGGAACACTTCCTGCAAACAGCAAAGAGGGAAAAAAGAAAGAAACAAGTATGAAAGGACCAACCATATATTTTCAAGTGATGTTCGCAGTATTTTTCTCCAAATGAAAAGTCACTGCAATTTATATTTGTGTGTTTAAATTTTGCAGAATAATGTGTTTTCCAGCTGTATTTTGTATGAGCCTGTTAGTGCAAAGAACTGTAAAGGAAGTGCTTCTCAGGAGGTGCAGTGAAAGACATCCAGGTTGTGTCCAAATGTTACAGAAGAAGCTTCTCAGGAAGGTAATGTGGAGGGTTCTGCAATGTGTTTTCACCCTGATGGCTGATGGGGCTTGCCTGTACCTGCTGAGACACCTCAGGTGGGAAGGCTGGGTGGATCTTGACTCAGGAGCTGGAATGAGTTTGGAGTTTTCCCAAACACTAAAACAGACAAAGCTTCCTACCACTGGAATCTATGACTCTGTGTAGGAGGTGGACACATCTTCTAATATGCAGCAAATCCTTGTTGGCTCCTTGCTCCTCTTCATCTCCTTGTGCTTCCTCAGCTCTTGAAGTGCACAATTCCTCTCTTTTCTAATAAAAGAGGGAATGCAGTGGCATTCCAAACATAAGGGATGCCCCTCTCTGCCTTCCTCTCCAGGAGAAAATGTGCATTTACTGTGGACACTGTTACAAGTTTCTCTCCAGATTTGCTTTAAGAACATAACTGTAAAAGGTTATTTCCAACCAAAATGGTTCCAGCTTTTTTCTGCGTTTCCCCATTGTGGTGGTTTCACATTAATTGTCATTTGGGGAAGAAAACATCCACAGAAGTGATTTCTTTGAGAGAAGCTGCAGGGAGCTTCCTCTGTGTGTGGGAAAGGCCAATAGCTGGCTAGTTCTGAGAACTGACAACATTTTGCACCATTTAGAAATTAGATCTGCCTCTGTGAGATCCACATTTTAAAAACACCAAGCCCAGGAAATGCCACTCTTGGCTTCCAGCCTCAGAAGGTAACTGAGCTCTGGCGGGGCCGGTCCTATTCCCCCACGGCCTGGGGGAGCTCCCAGGCAGGGGATGGAGGCTGTGGGGACGCGGCCGAGGCTGGGCCGTGCCATGGCTGCTGACCTGTTGCCAACACTGAACCCCTTGGCCTGCACCGACGGCTCCAGGCCAAGTCCACCACCCCCACTGGCTGCCAGGCAGAGCGAGGGGCCCAGCATGGCCTGAAATCCATCACCGTGACTGCTGTGGCCACTGCCTGGCAGAAACCATTATGACCATCTGCAGGCCTGGGCAAGATATTAACCCTTTCACTACACAGATGAGACCTGCAGACCTTGATCTTCTCCCAATGGAGAGAAAAGGACAGGGTGATGACACATAGAAAGACAACATGAAAACACCAAGGTCAGTAAAAGAAGGAGTCAAGACCCAGATGGAAGGAGGATGAGGAGATGCCGAATTGGGCTGAAATATTATTTTGGTAGGGCCATGGAGATGGACAATGAGATGGTGAAATATCTCCTTTAATTCATGAGAGAGTATGGGGGGATGGAGTGTTCAAACTGTAGATATGAGCAGAGGCAACCATAATTAAGCCAAGCAGATGTTGGAGTAGCTGTGATCCCATGAGAAGCTTGAACAGAGAGAGAGATGAGAGTTGAAGACCCTTTTCCCAGGGACGATCACAGAGACAGGTGAAGAAAACCTTTGCCTTTGAACAACTCATCCTTAAAATAATACCCCTTGAGTTCATGGCCCATGGACACACCTCTGAGTGGTGTGAAAATGGGAGGATTTCACAATGCAGAACTTTTTGCCCAGGCAGCTGCTATTTGTGGAAATGAAAAGCCACAAGAAAACTGTTTTCTTGTAGAGAAGTCTCCATGGCATGACACGAGAAAACTCCTCTCCCTACAAGAACTGATGGAAGACTATTGTATAGTTGCTACTGCTTTAACATCCCAGGTTTTGTCTCTATGTGGTCAGTTGGGAAAGGAAAAAGTCAGGCAGGGGGAGGAAAGGTGTTCTGGAAGTTTTATTCTGATGCTTCTTGTAGTCCTGTTAATAAAGTTTCTTCATACCTTTTAAGTTTTAAGCCTGTTTTGCCCTCCTCCTAATCCATATCTCACAACAAGAAATGAGTAAGTGCCCTGATGATTTTAGCCAGTGCTAAAACCCACCACACCCGTCATTGCCAGTAGTGTGACGGCAACATAATCACCACCCTTACAAAATATCTCTGCTGACTTTGCACCATGAGTGAGAACCATGTTTCACCTTCTATACCAGTTAATTGTGGATGTGTTTTGTTCCTTTCCTTTCCTAATTCTTAACTTTATAATTTGAGATTGATTTTGCTCCTTTTCCTTCATAATTCCAACATATTTATAGTTTTTAGGCCGTTCCTTTGGCCTTTTCCAAACACTCCCTTCATCAGGTCATCACCCAATGGAGATTAGGAAAGGAAGTAATTATGGTTCTGATATACAGAACTAAGAAATTAGGAATTATGCAACATTAATCCCTTTCTCCCCCACAGATTGGCAATGTGAAGTGGAAATTGGTTCAGATTATTCCAGGTACACTGGAGAGTGAGAGGTCAGTTTAGCAATGCTGAGATTTGACTATTTGGAAAAGCCAAGGATTTCTGAGGGATTTCTGGCTCCCTCTGACTCTTATTCTAAAATAAAATGTCCGTGTTTGCAGGAGGAGAGTGAGGAAGAGAGGGACTGGTAGATTTGGACATCTCTGAATTTATGTATAGAACTGTGCATAACCTGTTTTCACTCTGCAGGACCAAGTTTGAAAAATTCTGTTTGAAATACTGCAGTTGTGAAATACTTCCACTGATTTTCTGCTGTTGGTAGGACAAATAGTCTCAAAATTAATCAGGAATTAATGAGGGAATGTCATGTGAACTGATAAAGCTTTCAGTTGCTTTATCTATTACTTCTTGCTCTAACAAGAGAGTAGTGCCTCCTGTGGGAGTGAGTGATCATACAACTGATTGATTATATGTGTAATTTTTATGTAGAGCTGGTCTGTCCTTCTTTATTCTGTCTTCCCTTTCTGGCCTCTCTTGTAGGTAGTTGCTGTCATGGTGAAGTCTTAGGTATGAGAAACAAGGCTGATGGGAGAAATCACTTCCCCAGAGGTTACAAAATCCCTTGTATTATGCAGCAACTTCAGCGTGTGCCATCTCCATGACTCCTGTACTCAGCATTTTCCTCATCTTATTTCCCAGTTATCCCACTAACAGCACTAAAAATTATCCCATGTTAACATTCCCCGCACACATTCTTCGTAGTTTTTGTTCAGGTTCTTCTCTTCCCTATTTTTGTACCATAGCTTGGCTCAAACCACTCTCAAAATATGTTTTGAGTTCCCATGGAAGATTTTCCTCTGTGTTGACATCCTTGCCTGCCTTGTTCAGACATGCAGAGCCACATATTTGCTGCCTCCTCAGCCCTGAATTTGGGACTGGAAACTTCTGATTTGACTTGGGTAGAAGTATGGTAATCTGGTGCTTGGAAAAGCCAGTTGGGATGAAGAAAATAGGAGTAATGCAGGGTTTTCCTTACAGTGGTTAAAAGTGAGGGAAAGTTGGTAGGAGAAGGTTTCCACGTGTTTCCAGAATTTCTTCAAGGAGTTAAGGGACCTGTTATCACCAAAACAGGGCATAATCAGCTCTACTAGGGTGTGATATGGTGTGACAGGAGGGAGATTCTATCACTTTGCATTCATCAAGTCTGTGCTGCAAACCCTGAGTCACAGCTGCTGCTTTTTGTGGGCAGCAGATAAGATCTGTTCTTGTGAAAGATCTCATTACATCACATAAAGCTATGAGGATTCAGCTCTGCTACTTAAAACCTGGGGAGCACACCCAGAGAATGGGTTACTGTACCCAAAAAATAGAGTTACTAGCAGCCCTGGGCCATGCCATCTGCTCCACTAAAACACAAATTATCAGATCCTTACCCACCTGAACCTTTCTACACCAGCCTTCAGGATCATGAACAAAAGGCAGTGACAAATTTCCATGGAAAGCACAGGGTCTTACTCACAGCACCAGTTTGGCTGAACACATCTAAAGTCCTCAGCAGAACATCAGAACCCTCAAAAGTCCCTACCATGGTGTCCCTTCCTGTTTGATGCTGTGAACTCCAAGGACTTGCTCAGATCCTGCTAGGAATGAGGAATGAATAAATGCATTCCTCTAAGGAGCTGCACTGCATAAATGAATAAAAAAAGAAAAATAAGGAATAGGGGTTGCAGATTGCAAATAATTACTTATGGATACAACTTACATTCTTCTATAAATTACATCTTTATGACTGAGTTGTTTATTTATATTTAATAATTAATTTTTTTAATTGATATATTTATTTATGTTTTGCTCTGAGTTATTCAGCTTAATTAGTGCTCCTTTTTTTTCTTTTTTTCCTTGTCCTCAAGAGGTGGGTGATGCTCCAAGCCTGGCAGTATCTAAGAAGCATTTGAACCATTATAGAGGCTTTAACTTTTGATCAGCCCTGAAGTGGTCAGGCATGATATTTGTAGTGATCTAAATAATCTAAGTGAATATATGATAGTCCCTTGCAACAAACTCAATTGAAATATTCTGTTGTATTCCATTCTGTTCTATTTTCTCCTGCCACTGAGAGGAAATTCTTGCTTGTACATTTATGAAGGTGCTTGACCTCCTTGTGACTTTGTTGTCAATCATCTAATCAATGTTTCTGTCCAGAATCTGCCGTGTTCATGACATGCAGAAAGGGAACTAATGGAGTTCCTTGGAATTCAGCAAATATATGAATCACCTAAGAAGTGCAACAGCTCAGTTTGGAAAAAAAATGATTTTTAAAATCTAAAAACAGATTTTAGTCGGCACAAAAAATCCATTTACCTTTGCCCCAAATATTTTAATTTTTTTCTCAGGCTTGATGACATATGTATTAAGACAAAAGTTCCAGAAAATACTATCATGCAGCTTTGGTACACTGCAAGGAAAGGAAGACTGGATTACAGGAGCATAAAAATGTGGGATGTGTGAAGGAACAATGGTTATCAGGTAGCTGTCGAGTCATAATTTTATGTTTATCTTTTTAGCAGCTGACATCTTCATTGTGATAAGAGAGGTTGCAAAACAAATCAGTGCTGTTTAATGTGGGTAAAAGACCAAGGAGCTGGAGCTTTGGTAGTATAAGGGCTGTGGTGCTAATTAATGAAGGGTTTGAATCCCAAATGGATTGTCCTGTTGTAAGAACCTACTAGTAATGCAGTTACCAGACTGTTATCAGTATTCCTATCAGAGCACTGTCTGACACAGTGATAATGTCATGGGTGTCCTGCATGTGACAGGCAACTCCTTCTCTCAGCAGGTTACCTGGCTCATCCTGAGGTAATGAAAGCTTTAGTTATCCAAGGGCTTGACACAAATCCATGCACAGTCTTAAAACCTCACTACCATTTTGAGTGCTTGAGGGTAGTTTTTAAAAAATCTAAAGCTCCAGCTAAGCTCCTGCTTGTCTCCTGAAATCCCAGGGTTCGAGCCTTGTCTAACCTGGCCTGGAACACTTCCAGGGATGGGGCACCACAGCTTCTCTGGGCAGCCTGTGCCAGGGCCTCTCATAACCTCACAGGGAAGTATTTCTTCCCAATATCCCATCTAACCCTGCCCTCTGTCACTCTGAAGCCATTCCCCCTTGTCCTGTCACTCCAGGCTTCTGTAAAAAGTCCATCTCCAGCTCTCTTGGGGACCCTTTAGGTACTGGAGTTGTGCACAGAAGTTGTGGTGTTTGGGGTTATATTGTGTGCTCCATACACTAAAAACCCTTTGGGGAGGAAGCTTTTCCCTGCTTGTGTCACTGACCCAGTGGGAGCTATTTAACCTTGTGCAGGATTTTAGGGTCAGAGAAAGGCTGGGCCGATGATCTTGAAGGTTGGACTCAATGATCTTGGAAGTCTTTTCCCACCTTAGTAATTCCATAAAGCAGCTAAGGAGGTATGAACATGGGACAAGGAAGGGCTTTTTCTGCTGAATATTCAGTATTGAGTATTCAGTGTGTGATAAATGTAACCTTGGATAAAAAATCGTGAAAGAATAAATAAGTATATAACTGGATTTGTAACAATGTAAAAATTATATAAAATATAGTGTGGCCTAAGAATTTCCCCAAACCCAGCAGTAACTACCCATTCAGGTGGTAACGACCCTAGGCGACAGCCTGAAAGAAAGAGCAGGACACGAACAATTAAGCTAAACAAAGAAAGGAGCCAGGCCGAGATGCCCATCGACTCCACACCGCACCGGGGCACCCCTTCCTGCAAGCCCCGACTGAAGATGCAATCAGGCCAGACAATAAGAAGAGCCCAGCCGAGATATCCATCGACTCCACACTGGACTTGGACACTTCACCCTGAGAGCCCAACCGAAGATACAATCAAGAAGCACTCAGAACCTTTCACATGTGAGAGGACTCTGCCCAGTCGTCTATTGATTCAGTTCCACGGTTCCAGGAAATTCATTCAACCAGCCATCTAAACTCTTTGTTGAACAGTAACTGCTTGGAGTTTTGGCCTCAGGACACAAAATCCCTATAAAAACCCCGGACAGTCTACCCTCCTTCGTGGATTTGGGTAAATCTGTACCTCTGGGTATAGATGTCTCCCTGTCCACCCAGCGCTGCGCTGATTTATTTTATTGTGGTTTTTTTCTCTCGTTGTTTGTGATTGAAATTGTTTTATAATAAATCGCTTTTTATAGTAACCCTATTTTGCCATTGCATTTATAACAAGTGTAAGAGGGGAAGCTAAAAGGAATGAGTTGTGCTGCACTCCTGAAGGTGTGTGCTGGTGTCCTGAAAATGGTTTATCTCAAATGTTATAAAAACAGATTCTGCAAAAATCACCAAATGTGAGCTTAAAGGGATGGCAAAGCCCAGGAATCAGGAGGATAAAGTGCCTAGGGAACAAGCAAAGAAACAGGTTCATGATAACAACTATTAAACTTCTTTTTAAGACGCCTTATTGCACTGGCTGTCTATGGGACCTGGGCTGAGAAATCAGCTTTAGGACTTTCACACCTTCCTGTAAAAGAGAAGAGTCAGAAATATTGTGTAAACAACTTAATTGAGATGACTAGATGAGATTTCTTCTTTTGCATGAACATTTCTTTTGGAAATCTAGACTGCAGAATCATTATCAAGTGTGAGCTTTACCAGCACAAGTAGACTCAAGAGCAAACAAGCACTGAGAAAGGAAAAAAAAAATAAAAGCAAGGAGATACATGAGAAGTGTTATAAATGTAAAGAAAATAGTTCAAATTAATTAATCATCAAAAGATGCATATCAGATAAATTATTTAATATATGTTGAAAAGCCTGTCCTAATTGTGGGCTCCTCCATCTGGGTTGTTGCTGATGTGCGTTCTAACAGGTGGTTTTCTATAGGATAAAGAAATCATTCAATCAATCTCAGTTTTACATTTTCAAGATTGGGTCTGTTTTTGTTGCATGGCGTGTTGCAACAGTGTCATGTCCAGGGAGGGTTCAGCCGCTGGTGACCAACATGGGAAATCAACGAGAGGGGTCTCCATTTGATTTAACTCGGGAATCCATTTATTGGGGCGTCACCAACACAGGAATTAACCCAGCATAATTCCGAGATGGAGAACCCCGAACAGAGGCAGGGTGGTGGGTTTTATGGGGTTGAGCCAGGATGGAGTTTAGGGTCTGGGTCTAATAGGAACACAACAAGGGAGAAGCCCCAGGGGCACAAACCAATAGGGGTGAAATATGAGGGGTTAATGCAGCAGAGTACAAAGAATAGCAACACAAGAAGCGCAGAACACCGCAGACTGGCACCCCACGAGGGATTTGGGGGTGGAACAATTCTTCCCGGGCTTATAGGGCACATCTTCCTAGGCAGAGGGGTGGAATCCACTCTTCCAGGGACTTTTAAAGCCACACCTCTCACTTTAACATGACTGTCTAAAATCAAATCCCTGCCTCTTTGGGCAAGGGTACTCCACAGAGAAAATTATGTCGATGCTGTGAGTGTTTAGAGGGAAAGGAAAAGTGGCACCAAGTGTGGTAGTGCAATTCATTCTCATTTCCTAGAGTCCCCAAGTCTAATTAATAATTTTACAAACAGAAAGGGGCAGAGGGAGGGGAAGAAATGGCAGTTTCACAACCTGCTATCAGAAGCTGGTACAACATTCCATGTGTGCCATCCCAGGTTTATCCCAGGTAACAGAAGTACCCAGGGCAGAACTTCGAGGATCATTCCTGCCATGGGCTCTGTGGGAGTTCTCTCCTCCCTGTGAGTGTTGGAAAGCTGGACTGAAGCACAGGGTGTCATCAGGTGCTAAATATTATACTGAGTTTTCTGGAGATTGGTGTGGTTTGGTGGGGTTTTTGAGAAGGACATAAGAATATGCTTAATTCATGTTTCATCCAAGGGGTTTGTGGACTGTAACACCAAAAGTGAAGAGCGATACTATTTTTTCTGTTTAATCAGAGGAGTACTTTAAGGGAAGTTTTCCCTGTCTGAGCCCATCCTGGGAACGGAAAGAACTTGCTGAGGACCTCCCTAAGCAGTCAGATACCCCCCATCCTGAGGGTACTGAGGGGCTTCGGGCAGTGGGGATGCAGAACCAGAGGAGGAAAGGGGCAATTTTGGGGGGCAAACCCAACCCCGAAGAGCTGGAGCGGGCGGAGGAGGCGGGGGAGCGGCGCCGGGGCGGGTCCCTCCCTTAAATGCCACTGCGGAGCGGGATGCGAGGCTGGAGCTACGGAAGGGAGGAGGGCAGGAGGCAGGATGGCACCGCCGGGGGATGGCGGGGAGGTGCAGGATGGGGACAGGGATGAGGACAGGGATGGGGACAGGGACAGAGCCCCCGTGGCGGGGATGCGGCGCTTCACCTGGGAGGAGATCGGGCAGCGGAACGGGCGGGGGCCGGCGCCGCAGGAGCGCTGGCTGGTGATCCACAGGAAGGTGTACGACATCAGCCACTTCTACTGGAGACACCCGGGAGGGGCCCGGCTCCTCGTCAGCCACGCCGGGCAGGACGCCACGGTGAGCGGAGCGGGGGTGCGGGAGCCGAGATGCGCCGGAGGAGGGTACCCGGGAAAAGTCGTGCCGAGAGGGCTTGGGAGCGACCTCAGTGGGAACCAGGGTATGGGACAGGGTCGGGGGAGCGAAGTATGACAGCTCCGTGCCAGCTTCGCCATCCCCATGTCTTGGGAAAGGGGAAATGAGGAGATGCAGCCCACGGGAACGGGATGGGAACTGATGCTCCAGCTAAATAAGAGCAACAGCTGGAACGAGACCAGAGGAGCACATGGAGATGCTCAAGAGGACTGGAGCACCTCTGCTAGCTGGGAGTGTTCAGCCTGGGGAATAGAAGGCTCCAGGAAGAGCTCATAGCCCCTGCCAGTACTGAAAGGGCTCCAAGAGAAACACAGAGGGACTTTGGACAAGGTCCCGGAGGGATAGGACAAAAAGCTTTTAGCTTTAAACTAAAAGAGTGTTGATTTAGATTGGATATAAAGAAGAAGGTTTTGAAGATGAGGATGGTGAAACACCAGCACCCAGAGATGCCCCATCCCCAGACACACTCAAGGCCAGGTTGGATGGAGCAACCTGATGTAGGAGATGTTCCTTCTCATTGCAGGGGCGTTGGACTAAAGGAGCTTTAAAAGTCCCTTCCAACCCAAACCATTCTGTAATTCTTAAGCCTTCAGGATTCCTCTTATCTCCTGGTCTTGCTTGTGCAGTTGCTGTGAGCTGCAGCAATTTTTTCCATATATAAGGGATATATGAGGCTCATGGATATCAAAATAATTTCCAGTCCATCAAGTTTAAATTTCAAACTGTGTATTAGTAGAACTTTGCATTCTGTAATTTCATCACTCATTTCTCGAGTTACTACTGCCAGATTTCTTTCATTTTAGCATGCTGGAAAATCCCAGACAATGGGTGAACCAGATCTTTTGTTTCCGGGATCTGAGCTGCTGCTTGTAGGTTGGTTCTATGTCCAAATCATTATGCCCTGCAGGATCTGAGCCGCTTTCATGTCTGTCCATCTTGCATTAGGTCCATTGCTTAATTTGTTGGATGTATATTATGAAAAATTAAGAAATTATCTTAATTGAACCAAAAGCAGAAAGCCATGAAAGGTGGCAGCTCAGGAAAGGATGAGAAGCACAGAAGGCTCTCCATAAGCAAACTAAAAATGAGTGTAATTAATGCCACCATTTTAGAAAGGGTGACACTACACAGAACTGTGGAATCCTTTTGGTGCTGCTTTTTGTTGTGTTCTCTCACAAAGGATGAAAAAGCAGGGACACCTTCCGCTAGACCAGGTTGCTTCAATCTGGCCTTGGATACTTCCAGGAATGGAGTCATTTAAAGGGCAAATTTTTATTTATTTATTTATTTATTTATTTATTTATTTTTTAAAATCTGGATTTTTTTCCTTTACTCTTGTGCCTTTGCAGGATGCCTTTGTGGCATTCCACGTCAACCAAGCGCTGGTGAGCAAGTACTTGAAGCCACTGCAGATTGGGGAGCTGGCACCAGACCAACCCAGTATTGAGCCCAGTAAAAATGTACGTCTGTCCTCACAAAACAGATAAAAGGAGACTAAAGGGAAATAGTCTGAGATTACACTTTGTTCTTCTCTATCAGTAACTGCTGGAGTAAGGGGATCCAGATTTCTCACATTTTTTGGGCTACTACTTTGAAACAATGTGTGAATATGAGTCTAAATCCACATTATGTGGTTTAGAATGAGATTCCTGAAGATGATTTTTTTCTTATCACAGCTAATCTACTTAAATATCAGAGTTATCACCTTTTCTTTCCCTTGCTTTGAGGAAGAGCTAACCAAAAGGAAAAGGAGTCATCCGGAGAATAAATATTCTCCTTCAGTTGTAGGTGCATTTAACCCTCCCCTGTTAATCCTGGGAAGTGAAAACAAATATAAGGAATAATTTAATCCAAAGACCTACCACAAGGTGGCATGGGAAGTTCATGCACACAAAGTACAACTTCCACTAAACACAATGTCCAGCTGAGCCCTGTGCTGCTTGTCAAGGATTTGATGGAAGAAGCACCAATTTGTTTTAGGGATTAGGATACAGACATTGTGATGTCCTGGCTCCTCAACAAAAAGCTGTAGCAGAACAATGACAATGTTTATTAAACCCAGCTCTTGCCCTTTCAGGCAGATCCTTTGTTCTTTCTACCCTCCCACCCCTCCCCCCATTACAGTGATTTTTGGGTTATGAGGCTGCAGTGGTGCCCCCCAAAACCAGAGAATTTTAACCCTGGTGCTTCCTCCAGGAAATGCTGGTGAAAGACTTCCGGGAATTGCGCGCTACAGTCGAGAGAATGGGACTCCTGGAGCCAAACCAACTCTTCTTCTTCCTGCTCCTGGCTCACATCCTGATCTTGGATACAGCTGCCTGGCTCATCCTCTTCTACTTCGGGACATCCTTACTGCCCTTCGTTTTCTCCCTGCTGCTGCTGACCATTTCACACGTAAGCAATGAATTCCACGGCGTGGACTGGCATCAACCTACACACACACATGTGAGCAGTTTCTTTGCCTTTGCTTCCTCACTCAACACAAGTTCAATTTGCCATAAAAACACAGCCACTATCTGGATACCAAGAAGAAATTCTCCATGTGGGGAGCTCACACTAAACTTAGTTTGGGATTCTTTCAGTAAGATGTATTCAGCAAGAAGCCTTGAGACTGTCAGGATTCCACAGTCCCTTTCTGCTGGTGACTTGGGAGCAGTGTCTGGGAAATAAATCTTAGTATTTCAAAGCAAAGGATGAGTGTGGGTCTATCTCAATTCCTCTTTTTCTCCCCTCCCAAAGTTTTCTTTCTCCTCTTCCAGGTCCAGGCTTCCTGGTTACAACATGATTTAGGACACCTCTCAATATTCAGGAAAACCAAGTGGAACCACTTTCTACACAAGTTTGTGATGTGCCATTTGCTTGTGAGTCCCTGGAAAACTTCTGAGGGTTTTCCTTTAAAAAGTGTGCTCTTAAGACTCTGTGGAGCATGTGCAGCACTGGGGGAAGGATGAGGGTCAGGAACGGACGGGATTCTGTTTCTGAAAGTGCTTCTTATGCTTTGTTCTTCCCTTGAACAGGGGGCCTCGGCCAAGTGGTGGACTCTCCTGCACTCCCAGCACCATGCCAAACCCAACTGCTTCCACAAGGACCCTGACATTGATATGCACCCTTTCCTCTTCACTTTGGGGAAGAAATTGTCTGTGGAGGTCAGTGAGTGGTGGGGGAAGTCAAAAAACTAAAGCGTGATGGCAGCGTCTATAAAGAGATTTATTTCTCCACAGTTCATGCTAAATCACTTAAAAAATGTCTTGAACAGCTGACATGTCAATGTAAAATTAGACATGATGCAAAGGCATAGTATAGAGGGTGGAAAATCCACCAGCACATTAATGGTTGGAGAAACCTAATGACCTAGAACAACAGCTCAGTAATTAATGATCATTAGATAACTTGCAAACATCAATGTAAGGCATGGCTGCAGTCAGTCTGGGATTATTATTTTAATATTAATGTCTGAGGCTCAGTCAGAGGGATGGCTTTGGTGTGTCCACATCTTTTAGGAGAGTTTGCTGTGAAAGGAAACCTGAAAAACCCGGGGCTGCTCCTGGAACTCCAGTTGGGCAGAATTTGTTGGACCATGTGGGATATTCCCAGTTTGTCTTGCTTGGACACTTCAAGAGTGACAGCCTAAGAGTGCTGAACCCCTTCTGCTGTAGATCCCATCAGTTCTTGAGACTCCATTACAGAAGCTACAGCAGTGAAATATTTTTCTCCATGCCATCGTGGAACTGCCATTTAAGTTTGGAGAATCAGAGAAGAAATAAGGGGAAAAAAATGAGAGAAAATATGTATTTCTGACCACTAACATAACTTAGCCTTGATATTTCTAATTCTTCACAAAATGAATCATGAAAAAAGGAATGAGGGCTGTGGGAAGTGCGCAAGAGTCCCTCTAGAAAATAAACAGAAAAGAGCAAGTTAATGTGAAAATTGCTTGGTCTCCACTAATTTTTATTTTTTTGCTGGTTTTTTTTCCCCCCCACAGCTTGGCATCAAAAAGAAAAAATACATGCCTTACAACCACCAACACAAATACTTCTTCATCAGTGAGTATCTTCCATCCTCCTGCAATTCCCTGAGAGGTATTAAAGGGTCTTGGAGATTCTACTTTTGAACCCAGAGAACTTGAGAAAAACAAAGGTGTGTGAGTCAAAAAACAATAAAAAGACAAATTAACAACAACCAGATTTTTGGAAGAGTTGAAGACCTGGCCCATCTTATCCCAGGTCTCCCACATCCTCCACAGAGGCTCTGGGTTATGCTATCATACCACATCTCTCAGTAGTATCAAAGTCTGTGTGGGCTTGGGTTTTTTGTTTTTTTTGTTTGGGTTTTTTTTTGTTTGGTTGGTTGGTTTTTTGGGTTTTTTTTTTGTTCAGTTTGTTTTGGTTTCTTGGGGTTAAGTGCAAGTGAGATGTCCTTTTGGAAGGCTGAGTTTGAGTTCTTCAAATCCCTGATAGAAAAGGGATTTCATATGCATTCCTGTTGTTCCCACTGCTTTGCACCAATGAATAAGGAGCCAAATAAATTTTGGGTTGTGGAAGCTGCTCGTCAAAATAATAATTGGTGGCTGTTCCTCAGTCAAAAGCCTAAGATAAAATCTGAGGTTTGTAAGAACTCTCAGATTAATGGACAGACCTAGAAATGTTTCAAGGCATTAAACCAATGTCCTAACCTGGAATGTTTTCCAGATTGAGCAGGAATTCAGGATCCTTCCCTCCCAGGCTGATGTCACTCAGTCCATCATGTCACCAGTGATGAATTTTTCTTTCCAGCTCTTCCTCCGCTCCTGTTCCCCACCTACTTCCAATGTCACACATTCTACGTTGCCTACACAAAGAAGTACTGGGTGGTGAGTACTGCTACCTGGGTGACCAAAAGGGGTCAGATGGGGACCTTCAACCTTCCTTCTGAGTATGGAGCCAGCTCCTTGCTGGGTAAGAATGCTCAGATTCCCCTCTTGCAGCAAGCTGTGAGGAAGTATCATTAGCTTGTGCTGGATTGCTCTAGATTATTCCATTTGGGAAAAAAAAAAATAAACTGTCAAAGCTGAAAGTAAATTGTTCGCTTATAGTATGAAGCTTAAAAAAAGAAATAAGCAAATGTAATTATTTATTACATTATTACATTAATTGTTGTCTTTGGTTTTGGTAGGACCTGGCCTGGATGCTGACTTTCTTTATCAAATTCTTTTACATGTACGGATCTTTATTAGAAACAAAAAGGCTCCTGGCATATTTTTTTATATTCAGGTGATGTCTCTTTAGAAGGTTCTCCAGCCTTTTCTCTTTGTATTCTTTCCATCTGTACCTGCCTTTCTCTATGTTTATATTGCCACATTCTCCTTTACCACCTCATTTTTTGCCTACTTTTTAATTCATAAATTCCTTTGTTCAAGTGCCAGTGCAAGTTTTATGTTGCCCCATTAGCTGTGGCAGCAAAGAGATTTCACTGAGTACTGACCAAACTGAGAAATATTTACCTCATATAACATTCAGTGCTTTGGGTGTTGGGTCTGCTGCTACTTAAAAGAGAACATTTAACCAAAATAGCTTAGCCTTGGCTTGCAAACGCCCAGGTATCAGCAAGCAGCACTGACTTGAACAGACAGCACACTCCCACTGATTCTAATCAGTTCGGGCCTTGGCTGAATACCAGTCAGTGTTATAACAATACACATGAAATAATCATGAGTTTCATATGGAAATATGAAAATTCCAAGGTTTGTCATTCCTTCCAGGTGCTGGCTTAGCAAGGCTAGTGTTCAGCTATGTCTTTGTGTCTGGCTCTGCTGTTATTTCAGTGGCTCTTTGCTGACCTGCTCACCCAGCACTAAATTCTCTCATCTCATTGCACAGGATGCTGGAGAGCAGCTGGTTTGTCTGGGTCTCACAGATGAACCATATCCCAATGGAAATCGACTACGACAAGAATTTGGACTGGATGTCTACTCAGGTAAAAGATTTTTCCCTTCTTAAGAATTGTGGCCATACATCTACAAACTTTAACCATTAGCAAGTCTCCTGTTGCATTAAGGGTGAAATCTGCTGGTGGCTGGGAAGTGAAGGTTAATAGGCTGATGGATTCAGTCATGGAAAAGGTAAAGGAAGACAGCAATGACACACTCATGGGCAATCCAAAATTAAAGCCAGCTCGAGGTCTGGTTCCTAAAACATACCCTGACCTTGCTTTCCTCCCCACTCCTCTAGCTCCAGGCAACTTGCAATGTGGAGCAGTCGCTGTTCAATGACTGGTTCACAGGGCACCTCAACTTCCAGATTGAACATCAGTGAGTACTTACCCCAAGAGTGAATTTTCTTTCCCCTCCTCCTTTTTTAAAAATCTTTTTCCTTCTCTTTTTTTTTTTTTCCTTCCTTATTATTTTTTGCTCTGCATTCTATAAATAGCTGTGGGACACCAACGAGTTTGTCTTTAAAACTCCAAACTCTTTAAGAGAATCATGTAATTCAAAACTTTCACTGGAGCCACAGGATGACGAGAGAAAATGGAACAGGGGCAGGATCCATGCAAGGACAGCAATAGAGTGAGTCAATCCCAAGTAGTAGGTTTTAAGGATCAGTAGAAATGTCCTGGTTAAAGCACCTGTTTTTAGTCTGCCATAGGAGTTTAAAGCCACCTCTGCTGATTTTTTATGCTGTTACGCTATAGAGTGAGATATGCAAGGGTGAAGGATGGGCTCATCTCCTCTGTGCTATGGAGATGGCTACTTCTGGAAAAAGGGAGGGAGGGGAAAGTAGTTTCTTCCATAAACATAATTTAATTTGGAGACAAACTGTGGAAAAGAACAGAGGGGAAAGCAGGAAATCCCTACAAGTTCCTTGTGCTAAAAGCACAGCAAGAGGAAAGAAAAGTAGGGAGCATCTTACAGACCCTGCTCATTGTGAGCTGGGTGATTCCTGGGAAGTGCTGATGACTAGGATTTCCTGTGAAGCTTGCCTGCCTCCTGTTTGCAGCCTGTTCCCCTCCATGCCACGGCACAACTACTGGAAGGTGGCCCCTCTGGTGAAGTCCCTGTGTGCCAAGCACGGCATTGAGTACCAGTGCAAGCCTCTGCTCACAGCCTTCGCAGACATCGTGCAGTGAGTGAAAATAAACCCCCCAAAACTGCAGAAGGATGCAGGAGAGACTGGGATCCTAAGAGCAAGAGCTGTCTTGGTCTCCTTTTACCCTCCTGGGTGCATGGTGACTCTTTGGGATGGTGCTGTGCAGGGCGAGTTGGACTCAATCTTTGTGGGTCTCCCAACTCAGCTTATTGAGGGATTCTGGGAAATGAGCATGGACAAAACCTCATTCCTTTGTTCCAGCAACACTCCCCTGAGCAGCCCTGTGACGTGTCCTCTCTTTCTCTCTCTCCCAGCTCCCTGAAGAGCTCAGGAGAGCTCTGGCATGATGCCTACCTGCACAAATAAAGGACAAGGCTTGGTGCTACCATTCACAGCCTGCCACAACTGCTTTCCCAGCAAGTTGAGGGGCAGGGACCACAAGGGACTCTCTGGCAGAAGAATGTGAGTAAGGGCTGAGGGATAAAATTCCAACAGAGATGAAGCCACCTGAATTTTTCTTCTGGTTTTTCCTGGGGTTATGGTTCAGATATGTTAGGAGTCAGCAGGGCAAGCAGAAGGTGAATTGTTAGAAAAGGGAGGAGCTCTTTGCTGTGTGAGTCTGAGCATTTCTGAGCCTAGGCATGGGCTCAAGTCAGATCATGAACTGGTGGAGCTGCACACACTCAACTTCACAGCAGAGGCCTCTGACCATGTTGTTGGGTTTTTTGGGTTTTTTTTCCTTGTGTGGAGGGTTTAATGCTTGATATAGCATTTGCTTACTTGAATTTGAAACTGCAAAGGATTTTTGATTAGCTGGTGTTCCAGCAATGTGCTTAAACCACAATAAATCAGGATAAACTACAGAAACACTTGGACTGTAGCAAGTGCACATGCAATGAATAAAAACATAAATGTGTTTTCATTACTGTTCTCTAGAGCATCCTCATTGTCACAAGGCCAAGAAACACATGGGTTAAAACTAGCTCAAGGCCTCTGCTCTCTTCAACATATATCTGCTTTGGAGGGGTTTTTGTACTTTGAGCTGGGCCGAGACGTGCACGCTACATGTACACTCCCCACCTACACTGGACTAAGATTATACTACAGAAAGGTAAACCAAAAGTAAAATAAATCACCTACAGATACTTGGTCAAATCTGAAAGTTGCTGTTGCAGCTAAACCAAGATTAGACCAGATTTTGGCTGTGCCAGGCAGAAGGTGAGTCAGTGAAAGAGGCTGGTCCAGGTACTTTGAATCACCCTTGAGGGGAGAAAGTATCTTTCCACTAATTAGTAAGAAAGCCTGTTCTTCATCCCAAGTGAGTACTACAGTGGGTACATACTCACACCCTGAAATAAAAGACTAGATTTTGGAAAGGAGACTAGGGGAACAACTAAATTCATTTGAATATTAGCAGTTACCACATTTTTTTTCAGTAATTCAAGGTTAATAAATAGAAATCTCAAAAGGTAAAAACATGTAAAAAAGTCTCTGATGATGTAACAAATGGACTTTGTACTACTTGTGCAATGATCGGCTGAAATTACTGAAAAACCTTTAACCCTGCACAGTCAGCCAGAACAAGGAAAAGATTTGCTATGAAACCATTTTTCCTGCCTTGGAAAAAGTGCAATTATGTTTAGAGGTTAACAGCACAAAGTACAATGCCTGACCCATGGGAGTAAAAGAAGCAATTCCCAAAAACTCTGTGGGAAAATTAAGAAATAAAAACCAGGAGTCACAACAGTATCGTTTACTCACAAACACATTTCCACTACTTTAAAAAGCTTTTTGAAATTACCTTAAGCAGCCTCTGAAAATGATTTACTGGGTAGATGAAAGGCCTGATTTTGAAGATCATAATTTGATTTTTGGACCTTTGACATCACTGGGCTCCTGGTTCAGGACCCCTGAGAGTCAAAATGCAATTAAAAAAGAGAGCTGTGAATGTTTCTATTGGTTCTGTATTGACCCAACAGTGCTCCAATGAGGACAGGTGTGCAAGAGGATTGAGCAAGACTGAGATGAAGAGCTATGGATAAATATGGAATAAAGCCTAAGCAATATATGGATCAATGCCAGAGCAAACTGGAGCAGTTGCCAAGTTTTCCCTGGGTATCTTTGACCAATCTTATCAGTATCACTTTCAAATGAAAGGCTGCCTGCACTCCCTCAGGAAAATACTGAATAGCTGGGGTAAGATTTTACGAAGAAGATATCCTTGAGAGGCCCAAAGAAGGAAACATATACAAATTAGTCATAAAACCCAACAGAAAAGCAAAAACAAACAAAAAAACCCCTAAAACAAACAAAAAACCCCCACTCCTGCAAATAGTTATGCTACATGGAAACAGTGAAAGGAAAATCAGCATCAGCAGTATTTTCCCTAAATGTGAATGATGAAGAAAACAATACAAAATATTAACTGGCTTACTCTAAAATACAGCCTTGACGATTCCTGCAACTCTGAAGGGCAAAATTCCATTATTTTCTTACAGTAGTATCTTGGAATCAGAGGTTCAGGGAAGACAGTTCCTACTTGAAACAATACTAGAAGTTTATATTCAAAGTGACATATTTTTCCAATAAAATCTCTTAGGGAAAGTACTGAGTGGCTAAAGCACCTTGAACTCTACACACACACACCACAAGTAAAGCAGGGAAAATGAGATCTCTTCATTCCTGGTTTTCCAGCTTCCCTCCATGAAGTCAAGAGTGTTGTTGAGAACTTGTAAACAACACAGGAGCTATGATTATGTAGGAATTCTGTATTTTCATTCTGTTTGGGGAGCATTGCAACTGAAACTTAGTCTGGAACAGTACCTGCCATCACCCTCCTTCCTCAATAAATCTTACAATAAATGTAAGCACTAAGTCAAAGGATTCCCAAGTGTGGAAAAGAGAATCACACAATAGGTTTGGGTAGGGAAGTGCATCCACTTCTGTGTCAATCCTGAATCAATAATCACAGGGTCAAGGATTTGTTGCACTGGAAAAAAAAACCCAACCAAACAATAAAAAAAAAATTACAAAGTTCCCAATCCTGGTCAAAGTTTAAAAATGGGGAACCTGAGAGAAACAAGCGAAGAGCAAATACTGAAATTAACAGACACAGCAAATCTGTATAAAGGATTTCTGTGGTTCATGCTATGATACAGGAAGTGAAATTTTCCTTTTGACTCAGTCCATTAGAGATTTACAGTATTTGAACCGCTTTGAGTAGTGGGATGTAAAAATATTTAGTGGTTTTTTTTCATTAAAAAAGTAAAACTATCAGTTTATCAAGCTTCAGTGTGTGATATGAGAACAAATTTCAGCCCAGCTCTTGAGGGTATGCAGTTCAAGATTTTCAGCAGCTCTGGGGTTGCAGTTTCACTTTAGGTGGAATTCCAGCATGACAACATCCAAGCTTTCATCAGACAGTTAAATCACACAGGCTCTGCTCTGCAATCCAGGCTGCGAAAGTGCCATCATTAACAGTCAGCTATCAAATACTTCACTTATTATTTTTACACCACTGCCTCATTGTTCAGTCTTCATTTGCTTTCCCAGACTGTGTAACAATGCACCACTTCATAGCCTCTGCAAACAGAGGGCTGGTTTTGGCAATCTTCTTCATCTTACTGATCCATCCCAGCTGGAATCATCCTGAATGCCACAAACATGGCAAAACTGCCTTACATTCATTTACAATATTCAAAATAGAGCCTCAGACCTTTTCCCAATTCTGTCCAAAATGGCCTTAAACTGCTGAGGTTTAGTCCTCAATGTCAGAGTTGAGGTTATGCTCAAGTCCACCTCTGCATGCCATGATCCATGTCACAGCCACACAACTTTGACTCCAAACATCAGTTCAGACTGACCTCTGCAATATTACCCAGGGGGCAAAGGTCCCCATGCACTTTACCATGCACTGTAAATCTCCATGTTATTTGCTATCAGCAAGAGATAAGAACACACAACAAGTCAGTGGATCGATTCACTTCCACAGTGCTGGGCTGGCACCCCACACTGCACAGCAAACTGAATTCAGAGTGTAGAGAGAGCCATAAGAGTCCAGGCCAACCCCCTGCAGTGAACAGGGACATCTTCCACCATCCCAGGCTGCTCAGAGCCCTGTCCAACCTGGCCTTGAATAATTCCAGGGATGTGGCACCCACCACCTCCCTTGGAACCCTGAGCCAGGGCCTCATCCTCATAAAACAATTTGTGAGAAAATGGCGACTCACCTGCCTGTGAAAATTCATGGATCAGATCTCCAAACACAGAACAAACAGCCTTTTTCTGCAAGATGAGCAACAGGTATGGAATATTTGGCAAAACAGAGTGATTGGTTTACTGGAAGCTGAAATTATGGATACCCACACACTGCTTAGCAGGCAATTCCCATCAATGAGCTGCACTAAGGAAAGGAAAACAGGGCATTTTCCAACATCTTTGAAGCACTGAAAGTCTGATCCAAACCTATCTCATCACCTTTTTTCTCTCCACTTAACGTTTAGCAATCCCACGAACTTCCTCATCTCCTGGCACAGCTCACTACAACAAATGTGATTTCTGGAATCTGCTCATGGTTTTTGGATACACAAGTTCAAATATTTTGTGGAAGGGAAAATAACCTAGGAATGAAATGACCATTAAAAGAAGAGGAACTCCTGGAGAAGCTGTAATTTCCCAAACATTAGTTTCAGATTCATTCCCAAATCCACTGCTAGAGACGTGCATCTAAAATAAAACAGTAATAAGAAGATGTTAAGCAATTCTGCTTTACAGATCACTGAAATCATATTGCAACAACCTGGCAAAGGAATGTTTGATTTTAGTTGAACAGCACACAAAAACAAAACAGAACTGCAGTTGTGTCATGTCAACGGTCTCTATTCTCATGATAAGGAGCTGTAAATGGATTTATTGTCTTATTTATTTGAAGAAATAGCATTACTGTTCTTCCAGTGTTGCCTAATGTTCTCCACAGTTTTGGGAAAAGCTGTGTTTTCTGTACAACACTTGTCACAGCCAGTTTAGCATAGAACACAGGTCACTTAAGTTATTTAAACACAACTGTGGGGTTGAAAAGTGAGCTTTTATAACAAAGGCAGCTGCAAAAAGTACATCCAACCTACAGCTTCTGCACCATCTCCAGAAAAACAGATTTAGAGCTTTATGAACTTCCTAGATTAACAAAAAGTATTTGAAGACATTTGCACAGAAAATATGTTGCCAAGAGATTTTTTCATTCCATTTATTTCAGAAATGAAAGTAGACAACAATATAAATCACTGCGCAGACACAACCAAAATTAGAAGATCAGGCCTTGTTCACTCTCTTCCAAAACTCATTAGGATTCTCTGTTCCAGCATGTTATATTCCCACCCAATCATGTAATCCCACATGCCTGGTCATGTAAAAAGCTAATGGAATCCCAGAATACAGTAGGTTATCAGTTCATATTATTTTACTGCACCTCTGCCCCAGCTAATTTTTCACAAGAGGTTAGTAGATAAATGAATTGCAGAGCAACTAACATTCTCCAAAATTTAACAGAACAGCATTTAGTATCTACTCTTCTTAACTTGCCACCATTCCTGGGAATTCACACTTAAATCAGGAAGTAATCCTGATTGTCAAAATACAACTCAAGGCAGACCCAGAAATGCAGTGATTATTGATAAATCACCTCCAAACTGCTATGATTTGAATTTTTTACAGTTGCCTGAGTTCAGAGCAGTAGCTGGGCTCTGAAATGCCTTGCATTTAGCCTGGATAACTATCCTG